TATTAAGAACCTCAATGGCGTCATCACACTCCCTCTGACCTGGAGCCTTCTCCCTGAAACCATTTACATGACAGTATATGATTATGATGCATGGAAGTTATGATATCATACACAACTGAATCGCATCTCGCAACACTGCCACTGGTAATGAACTGAAGTGAATCAACACTGAACTGACTCACGCTGCAGAACGAACACTGCTGCCTGATTTTAGCTGAACTGAACTTGTTTCAAATTGATAAGACTTCACACTAAACTAAACAAACCCTAATGTGAACGAAAGGTTTCACAGACATGGCAGACTTTACCAATAGGCCGAAGTCTTGTTTTTAGTTGATTGTTGAATAAAGGGTATAAATCCTGTGAATACCTCATGTTGGTGATGAGTTTCTTGATGGAGTCGGACACTGTTCTGGAGTGTCCAGCCAGCACAGACCATTTGGGCGGGTCTTTGGGGTTGACGGCCAGTGAGCGGGCCATCTGGATCAGGCCTGTAGAGCTCTCCAGCATGGTCTTAGCGGCTGCTACGATGGGCTCCATCGCTGCCAGACCCTGGGAACAGACACAACAAAACGTGTAACTTCCAGCATGGTCTAAACAGGGTTATCTATTTCAGCCTGGAGTCTGGTTCCCACTCCTGAGCCATGCACAACCCTGTCAATTCTGCACTGATCTATTCAATTTGTATATAGACAGAAAAAATGGAAGAGTGACCTCTGGCTTCTAAAGTCTGAAAGAAATTAATATGCTCTAATATGAATCCACAATTTAAAAAAATATGACAAGGCAGAAAACCGTGTTTGTCGTAGATGGTCTTTTGTTTTTTAATGATTTTTTGTGTTGATTTGTTATGAGTAATCTTATCAGTTTTCAAACTTGTTAATTTAAATACAAAGCTTTTTTAAGTTACACAATTATTAAAGTAAACATACCTACTTGGATATGTAAAATATAAAATATTTGGAAGTTGAATTTCCAGCAAAAAAGGACTATATTGTGATATACACTACAGTTAAAAAATATGGGATTGCAAGACTAAAATGTTTTTGAAAGAAGCCTCTTCTGCTCTCCTAGCTGCATTTATTTGATCAAAAAATACAGTAAAAACACTAATATTGTAAAATATTATTACAATATAAAATAGCTGTTTTCTATGTGAATACAATGTAAAATGTAATTTATTTCTGTGATGCGCAGTTGTATTTTCAGCATCATTACTCCAGTCTTCAGTGTCACATGATCCTTCAGAAATCATTCTAATATGCTGATTATAAATACCTTTCCTGTCACTTTTGATCAGTTTAATGCATCCTTTCTGAATAAAAGCATCAATTTATTTAAAAACTGCCCAAACTATTGAATGTTAGCATATTCTGTGATATAATGTGGTACCTCTGGGCTGATCTGTGCAGGTACGCTAGCAAACTCTGGGTTTGAAGCGAAGGCAGTCAGGTTATCCACAGCCTCGATGAGCGGCCCAGTGGCTTCCTTACACTTCAGTCTGTTCTCCTGGTTAAAGGCCCCATCAAGAGCCTGACGTTACAGCACACACACACAGTTACAGTCACCAATAATACCAACACTGCTGATCAGAAACAGACTGATCTGTGAGTCTCAAAACTCACTTTGATGGACTTGACGAGGTTGGCGGTGCTGTTCGCCACCTCTTTGGCACTCTGGACGAACTGTCTCTTAGCAACTGGGTTGGATGTTTTGGAGGAGGCGAGTCGGCAGGCGTTGCACAAGGCCGAAGTATGTTTGGCAACAATTGTGGCAGCAGAGAGGACCTTGGGAAAAGACGGTGCATAAAACACGGGAGTTATTTTGTCAGGTTATTTGTGATGACTTTAAAACTAGGTCAAAGCGTTCCTTTGAACTCACAGCTCAAAATAGGAAGTGAATTCTTAAAGGAAATATCCAGATGTGAAATATAATAATTTGTGACCCTGGAGCACAAAAGCAGTGTTAAGTCGCTGGGGTATATTTGTAACAATAGCCAAAAATACATTGTATGGGTCAAAATGATCCATTTTTCTTTTATGCCAAAAATTATTGGGGTATTAAGTAAGATATTTTGTAAATTTCCTACCGTAAATATATCAAAACTTAATTTTTGATTAGTAATATGCATCGCTAAGACCTTCATTTAGACAACTTTAAAGACGATTTTCTCAATATTTAGATTTTTTTGCACCCTCAGATTTTCAAATAGTTGTATTTTGGCCAAATATTGTCCTATCCTAACAAACCATACATCAATGGAAAGTTTGTTTATTTATGCATAAATCTCAATTTCGAAAAATGTACCCTTAAGACTGGGTTTGTGGTCCCGGGTCTCATTTGTGAAAGTCGATCAGACACTGGGAGTCCTGCTTGGCCATTTAACAGAAGCTTTAATGATTGCACATTATCACATTATTCTTTTTTGCTAAATTTAGTGAGCTAAAAAGGTCCATAGTCTATTGGACCAACAGTCACTTTCAAACAGGGCAGCTTTCTATTGGTCAACACAGTGAATCCATATAAATAACTTCAACACAAGCAAAATCTGCGTAAGGAAATGGTTCGCCCTGACACAAAACTCACGAAAGTGTAGACAAATAACTGGATTTTGCCAGCAAAAAACCATCAAACAACTGTAGTAGTTACTAATACAGATTTGAATGCCATGTCAGCATCTGAGGCTATCTTCATGGCAAAAACCGAGTTACAAATTACAAGAGTTACAGAAATACAATAACAATGAAAACCCAACAAAAAGAAAGAGAACATTTAAAGTACTACAAGATGTTTTACATTTACATATGATAAAAAGTCTACATTTTCTGGTAAAAACAAACAAGTCCTTAAGTGAGCTTACTTTATAAAAAAAAAGTTGTCTACTTGCATTAAAAGTGGGAAAGTCTTGCAAAATCATCAAACAACTGTAAATGCAATCACACCTTTAGTTCTCCCTCGTGTTCCAAAATCTCCAAACAGTCACAAATATGTTTTTATAAATAAATGCATAAAAAGTTGTATCAGCCATTAAAATACCTTCTCAGTAATCTACTTCTAATAATGTACTCTCAATGCTAATATATAATATCCTGCCTAGAGTAAACCAGACCTTATGTACGTGTTCGCTCCTATCAGACCATTAGGAAAGAGTCATGCTGTTACCTGGGACTGGGTGCAGGCCGGGTCCACTAGGTTCTGACAGGCCATCTGGATCGACTGTTTGGCTCTGGCGAACTGTGAGGGGTCCACAAGCCCCTTCTGCCCAGCGTGACTGTTCGGGTCAGACACACCCACCAGATACGCCCCCTGTGAGAGACACACAGAACAGCCGTCACTTCTGTTCTACACCAAACAATTCAGTGTCAGCATTCAGCTCAGCAGCAACAACAACCCTCCACACACACTCGCTCACACTCACACTCACGCTCAAGCTCACACTCACACTCACGCTCACACTCGCAGTCACACTCGCAGTCACACTCGCAGTCACACTCGCACACAGTGTGTTCGTGAAACAGCTTTTAGGACGACACACAGGAAGCAGTTAAATATGACTCACTGCCCATCAAACCCATTATGAATTCTATTTGCACAAGTGTGTAGTGTGTTCTTGTGCTTGTAAATAATAAAAGCATGACGGTGTGTGTGAAAGCACAGAAGGCAGCAAAGGAGAGACCAGGAAGGCAAATGTGTTTGTTCATTTAATGCGCTCCTGTAACTCCAGATGTTTGATGCATCATAGCCCTGGTAACATTTTATCATGCACCGCCTCTTTAGGTCGACTAATTTAGCAGAGAGGAGTTTCACACACACACACACACACACACTCTCTCTCTCCGATCACAGGCACTGTTTGGCTAGCATGCCATCACACAGCACAACATCGGACTCGATCCTCCAAAGAAAGAGTGCAGGGCTCTGTTCCAAATCACAGCGAGCTGCATTTTAGATGCTTTCAAATAGTAGTTGGATAACTATAACGGCCTGCTTTTGGCCAAATTCTAAAGATGTGCTCACATTTACCATTGCTTTGCCAAATTTTGTGTGCGATTCAAATAGGTCACATGGGTTCCTGTATGTTACCAAAAAAACGGCTTGGTTTGAAAGTGCCTTCTGTGTGAGCTGCGCTTTATACATCTCTGATGGAGAGATGATGGGAGATTTCGTTTGGTTTGCAAAATTTTGCTGCAGTTTTGCTAATGTGACTGCACTTTCAAGTTCGCATGAAATCAAAATGTTCAATATTTATTTTGTTAGGGAACATTGTTAGTCTTAAGGTGAACAATTAATCAGTGCAAGTTAATCCTCTGAAAAAAATAGTTTGTCTTGCTAATCCTTAATCAAAATCTGATCATTTGCTCCCGCTCCGGAATGGCACTCCTGCTCTGATGACGTCAGTTTGACGGCTTGGGCAGAATTTGCTTAACCACGCCCCTCCAACCATTAGTTTGCGGCGAGTGAGGGATGAGAGGAGGAGCGCAAGAATAAAAGCCCGCCCTCTACTCAATATTCTGTTTCAGGTGGAAATACGTCACCATACTGAAATAAAGTCGGCTGCAACTTCCAGTTCACTCGGACTTTAAAACAGCATCACATTTCCCAATCCCAAAATACTTTGCTACAAGCTAGGAGTGTCGCAATAATAACCACAATATTAAAAAAATGAAATACTCTTGTTATGTAAATACTGCACATATGATAATATTGTAAATAATCCAGCACCAACAACCTGGTTGATATTAAATTGAATTAAATTGACAATATAGCAGGTGGCACTATCGCATCTGCTTGTCACTCCTCATAAAATGACGATGTGGCTGTGTCTGAAACCACATTCTCTCTGAGTAGCTTCTGCTTTTGAATAAGTAATTACTGGGCGATTGTTAAAAAAGTAAGTTCTAGAAAGTATGTAGTATGAATATAATCCGGAAATACTACATTCATTATGATGTCAATGTCATGTGACCTGCCAGCATCAGTTTCAGCACTTCAATGCCATTAGTAAAGTGTGCACAGTTCAGAATCTGGCCGGAAATCGCAGGTCATCCAGGGACTTTTATCCAACTCTGCATGGCAGACGCCTGGTCACTGATGGTGGGAACCGTAGCTTTGGCCGCGGTCACCATTTTCGCTCCGGGCTGATGAAGAGAACAGACACCATGAGCTCAAATGATGCAGACTTGCACGTTATAATAGGAAGTGAAGGTCAGAAGAGTGAAAGGACCTGCATGAAGTTCTGACTGGCTCCGATCAGGGCGAGCTGGGCGCTAGGGCTGTCGGGCTGAGCCTGACTCCCTCTCACACCCTGAACCAGCTGAGGGATCTGATCCGCCACCCCCTGCAAACACATCAAAGAGTTATTCCTGTAAGTCGTTAGCCAAGGGCTTATGTGATTATCTAGGCCTTGTTTACTATACTGTCAAACCAAAAATTATTCAGACACAATTTTTTATTTTTTTTATTAGTGAGTGCAGACACTATGTAACGATATAAAAATCTAACGATACGATAATATCACGATATGAAGTCCACATACGATATGTATTGCAATATTTAAAAAACAAAGACAATTGAAGAATTGGGAAAAAATAAAAAATTTTGTACATTTTAAAGTTAAATTATTCTATCTAATGCACTTTGAGAGATCTAACCCAGGTTCTTAACTAAGAAAACTTAAGTCAGAAAAAAAGTCAGTGAATTGAACAATTGGTGGCTGACTAAATACTTTTTTGCCCCACTGTATGTAATCTTTTCCATTGACAAACAAAAAGACATAACTCGAGCTCGTTTATTATTCCAGATAAAATCAGTGAATAGTTTCCGAAGTGACGTAAAAAAGGAGGGTGGAGGGCACAGAGGAATATTTTGAAAGAAGTATAGTATTTTAAGTAATATGCTAATTTTTATTGCATTTATATGTCCAATTAGCGATATGGGTAGGCTTTTCCATCTGTCAATGAATTTGGAGATATTGTTTAAAAGGGGTTGATAATTTTCTGAAGATATATAATCTACATTAGCTGTGATTTTAATTCCTAAATAGGTGAATGAGTCTACTATATTAAATTGAGTAACAGCTGGTCGTTGACTATCATCCTTATTCAATAAAAGAATACATGATTTAGACTGATTAACCTTATAACCTGAGAAGTTACCAAATATTGAATGAAGTTGTATAAGGGAAGGAATAGAGCAGGCCAAACTTGTGGAATGACCCTATCTATTTGAGGTCCTGAAAAGATTTGGGTTTGGAGAAATTTTTCGTAAATGGATTAAAGAGTCTGGGACCACACCATTTCCAAAGGATTCTTTTAGCATTTCTAAAATTGGTGGGACAAGATTTATTTAAAATTTCTTGTAAAAGTCTACGTTAAGACCGTCTGGTCCCGGTGTTTGTCCCGCTGTTAAACTATCAATAGCCTCTATAATTTCCTCTTCTGTTATATCTATGTCCAGGGACAATTTTGCCTCTTCAGAAAGACTAGGTCTTTTTTGCCCCACTGTATGTCTTTAGACATTAAATGTGTTTCCTGGAGAAAAACAATTTTAAACTGTAGCTGCTTTATCCTAGTCAATACTTGTTTAATTTTAGTAAAAGTATGCAGCCCCCTACAGTTCCAAGAAATAAACTTAACCTCAATAATCCCTGCCATATCCTATAGCACTAGATAATACAATACTCTCCTTAGTTTTAAAACAGAAAATCACCTGTTCCTTGTGACAATAAAAAGTAAAACTAGAAAACAACATAATTAGAAACACTAACCAATAGAAACATTTAAACACTACAACTGTGAATTGCCGAGAACCACCAGCAAATGTACACACTACTTTACTTCTAACTTCCCCCATCTAAATGATACAATGAATTGCATCCCACCTGTGCTCCGCTGAAATGACTTTGTCCCCTTATAAGGAGTATGTCCTATTAATAATCGTCCGTTATTCACATATTCCAGAGTGTAAACAAATCATTAATATAATGTCTCAAAATTACATAATCGTTAGAAAGGCGTCAACTTCAAATGAAGTTTGAAAGGCGCGAGATTGGCCATTGACCGTCACCCGAAGGCGCGCTGGAAAGATGAATCCATACTGTAGGCCCTTAGCTCGCAGCTTCCTCTTGACTTCGTCGAATTGTCTCCGTTGCTTGTTTACTTCAGCAGAAAGGTCTGGGAAAAACATGACTCTGTGATTTTGGAACAGCACGTCCTTCTTCCCTCTGGCCGCATTCATTACACGCTCCTGGTCTCTGTAATCCAAGAACTTCGCGATCATCACTTTCGGCGTTGAATTCCTGTCTGTATCAGATCTTCGCATACTTCCAATCCTGTGTGCCCTCTCTATGGCCAGGGGTTTTCGTAGTGGCTCCATGTCTAGCGCCTCAGGTAACCAGCTTTCTAAGAATGCACACTGCCCTCGGATTTTTCTGGTAAACCTACGAGTCTCAGGTTGGAGCGTCGACTGCGATTCTCAAGGTCATCTATTTTCCAGGTAAGTGCTGCAATTTTCTTCTCGAGAGCGCTGGTCGTCGATTGAAGTGTAGTAATCGAATCTTCGGTCTGTGAAATGCATTCCTCCGTCTGCGTCAATCTCCGAAACACTCCGCAACTTGATTTTTAACATCTTGTACAGCTAAAAGTACGGTTTCAAATTGAGAAGTCATGTCAACTCTCACTGAATGTATTGCTTGGAGAATATCACTTGTGTCAGCGTGAAAGCCGCTAGCTTGATCTCCATAGCTCGGTGACGAGTTTTCTTCGCCATGTGCAACACGCGACCCTTCGCGATTCAGACACTTTGACCTGAGCATGTTTTGCTTAAGTGTTTTTTTTTTTTATTGCTAATGTGACCTTTTTACACCACAGACTGAACAAAATTAAGCATTGCTTGGTAATTGGTTGACCTAAATTGTTATTATTTAATTGTGTACTTAAATGAACAGCTGACAGCTATTCAACCGAATCCATTACATACCTTTCTATCAAAGTTATCTGACATTATCAAGCTGAATTTGCTCTGACACAGTTTAACTCTGTTCTTGTCATATTTTATTACCATTTTCTAACTATAGCGAATAAACTGTGATAATGTGAGAAATATTCAAGGTGTCTGAATAAATTTTGGTTTGACTGTATATCAATCATAACAAACTGCAAGCAGGAAAACTAGTGATTTATCAAAAATGAGCGTTAAGCACAGAATTATGCTTTATGTTTCACGTCTGCTCACATCAGTCATTCACAAACACAGTGCTTGTGTGAACTAGTTTTAACCCGAGAGAAACAGGAAGTGGCTGCTGAGAGACACACACCTTGCAGCTCTGCACGAGTTGTTGCTGGGCCGCAGGGTTCTTGTTGGAGGAAGCGGCGTGTTGCGCTGCAGCGATAGTCTGAGTGGCAGCCGCCGCGGCCTGTTTTGCTGCATTCTGACGAACAGATATGACACAAATATATTTATTATAAAACCACATACTTCTATCAACCTACCAACTTCTATCTACCTGAATTGGGAAATTCTGAAATCACAAAAACTGCTTGTTAAACTTACATTTAAACACATTTGAACTATTTCAAATCGGCAATAAAATCTGACATCAACTGACCCATTAATGTGGTTTCTTACCCACTAATTGGTGATTGGCCGCATTTTTTTATTTTTTATTTTTTTTAGAAAGCAGGACTTATTCTGCCATATTGTGCATTGTATTTTCTCCCATTCTTAGTAAAATGAGTAAACAGGCTCTGTATACATACACTTCTGGTCAAAAGTTTGGAACAAACACAACTTTTTCATGTTTTTAAAATGAGTCTCTTTTGCTCTCCAAGTTGAAACTTAGGTTCCACTTTATATTAAGTGGCCTTACCTACTATGTACTTACATTTGGTACAATGCACTTATTGTGTACATACATGTTTTTACATTGTACTTATATTTAAAAAAATACCTGCACGTAATTACATCTGTAATTAATTTCTATAATTGCATTTATAATTATACAGTTGACCCTTCCCTTACACCTTAACCACACTTAAACCTACCCATACCACCAAACCTGTCCCTAACCTTACCCCTATCCCACCTCAATAGCAGCAGAAGTGTACTGCAATACAATATGAACACAATAAGTACATCGTACTTATTTTTTTAAGGACCTACATGTATAGTAGTTAAGGCCACTTAATATAAAGTGGGACTGAAGCTAATTTATTACTTTTTAAAATAATGGTTCTCTTTGAATATTTTGTCATTTTTAAAAGGATCACATGACACTGAATACTGGAGAAATGGTTACTGAATTTATAACAGTAATAAATTACATTTTAAAATAAATTCAAACAGAAAACGGTAACATCCTTGGTGAGCATAAGTGACAGACAGACTAGTTTGTTTTTATTGGTCTTTTGCCTGCTTATTAGGTGTTGCTATGTAGTTCTGATATTTTAGTTGGTTAATAGACGAAGTTTCTATTTGGTAGTTGCTAGGCACTGTTAGAGCTAGGCTGTTCTAGCTGGCTGCTAGGGCTACTTGGGTCTTCTGGCAAGTTACTGGAGTATTTTGGCTGGCTGCTGGAGAGCTCTGGCAGGAGGCTGACAGTTAGACAGAGACAGACGGACAGATATCACAAAGAATTAAGCCGTACACTGTTCTTTTCACTGCAGATAATAAGCAAGCTGAAACAGTATAAAACAGAGAAACAGGTCTGTGGAGTTTGCGAAACCTAATAGTTCTTCTTTCTCACAAGTTGCAACAAGTTACTTGTGAAACTGCAACACTGAGCTAAACACACTGCAGTCTTTAAAAATGCGATAAATAATTTTCACTGTAGCCTTTGGCAAGATTTAACTCCATGAGCAATAAAACATCATATAACTTTACCCAAATAGGGCAGCAAAGAGTTGTAATAGCTGGCAACACTTCTAAAATTCATCTCAGTGCAGGCTATTATTTTTAAAAGAGAATGTGACCTCACAAAAAACCGTCATCACATCTTCGAGTTCTTGAAGGTTTGGATTTGTGCATGTCAGTCCTCACCTCCAGTTTGTTGACCAGTCTCTTTTTGATGGCATTCTGTGCCGCAGCGTTGGTGGCCATGCGCAGACCCTCGGCAGCTTCACGCAGCTTCTGCTGCTGCTCCTCGCTGTCCGGGTTAGCAGCTGCACCCTGCCGGCACACACAACAAACACTCAGCTCCATGCACAGCTATCCAGTCTAAAAGCACACACTGAGGCGTCTTCTGTCCCACCTTTGCAGCTTCCACCATCTTGGCCGTGGCGTCAGCCAGGAGTTTGGCTGCAGACAGGAGTTTGCGGGAGTTCTCCAGGTCAGTCTCGCCCTCCGCGTCGGCCTTGATAGCATTGACTAAATCTGAGGTGGCCTGAGCAAGGATCCGAGCCTGTCGCACCATCTCCCCTGAACACAGAGAGGAACGCGCCTGTGCGTGAGCTCCATTCATATGCATATCAACAAGTCTCTGCACATCAGTCCAAGCTATATTAAACACAGACTATTAAATGTTCTTGTTTTGACATTCAGCAGACACTTTTATATAAAGTGACTTACAATCAGTGTTGAGGGAGGTAACATTACAAGTATAGCAAGTTACGTAATCAGATTACTTTTTTCAAGTTATCAGTAAAGTTAGGGATGCACGATATTTTTGCCAATATCCGATATTTTTTAACTCATTTTGGCCAATAGCTGATACCGATATATTTCCTTTTGTTTGGAAACACCACCAAGTCTCTCCTGTGTGGAAATTATAAGCAAATTATTTTTTAATTTTGGCTAGTTTTTAACAAGAATTTATTTGTTAGAATTAAATAAACAATAAAGAAGTTCTTTTATAATGACAGTACATTGAAGCTTTGAAAAAAAACTATAAATAAACTATATATCAATCGCTGCATTTTTTCCCCAGAAAGATGCAATATTAACCTTAACATTTTATTTTAAGATTTAACATTTGTAGATGGTCTGAAGCAAAAGAGTTGTAAAAATTCTGTAAATATTTTAGAGCTCATAATTTGTTAAAAAACATATTACACATTAATGAATAAATGAGTATATATAAAATTATTTAAATTACAAGTGTCATACTTGTGATTTTTTTTTATTCATGTAAGCTATAGCTTCTAACCTTTAAATCAAAACATACTCATGATTTTATGATCTCAATCACTGCTTTATTTAATCAGAAACACAGTCTAAACGTCTACATTTGAGTATTTTACTTTCATTTGATTAGAAATAGGCCAACAGCGCCACCTACGGAATTAAAACTCCTTACTGAGCGAGCATTAGGACCCGGCAGTTTAAATGCAGCGATTCAAAACAGTGAATTTAATAAATTATAAGCAAATTATTTTTTAATTTTGGCTAGTTTTTAACAAGAATTTATTTGTTAGAATTAAATAAACAATAAAGAAGTTCTTTTATAATGACAGTACATTGAAGCTTTGAAAAAAAACTATAAATAAACTATATATCAATCGCTGCATTTTTTCCCCAGAAAGATGCAATATTAACCTTAACATTTTATTTTAAGATTTAACATTTGTAGATGGTCTGAAGCAAAAGAGTTGTAAAAATTCTGTAAATATTTTAGAGCTCATAATTTGTTAAAAAACATATTACACATTAATGAATAAATGAGTATATATAAAATTATTTAAATTACAAGTGTCATACTTGTGATTTTTTTTTATTCATGTAAGCTATAGCTTCTAACCTTTAAATCAAAACATACTCATGATTTTATGATCTCAATCACTGCTTTATTTAATCAGAAACACAGTCTAAATGTCTACATTTGTGTATTTTACTTTCATTTGATTAGAAATAGGCCAACAGCGCCACCTACGGAATTAAAACTCCTTACTGAGCGAGCATTAGGACCCGGCAGTTTAAATGCAGCGATCCAAAACAGTGAATTTAATCATCATTCAGGCAAAACTTTGCTTCAAGAATGAGTTACACTGCTGACATGATCTAATCGCTAGCACACCCTGAGCACATGTGAGTTAAGGCATTCCTCTTATCGGCAAGACATATCAGCATAATTTTTTTCATATCGGGCCGATGGCGATATTTACATTTAAAGCCATTATCGGTCCGATAATATTGTGCATCCCTAAGTAAAGTAAAGCATTACTTAACACGAAAAACATCTGAGCTGCTTTTTCAAATAAGTAACTCCAGTTACGTTGTTTTCCCATGCATTGGCAGCTCTCCTGTCCTCATGTTGAGAGAAATTGTGAGTAAGTGCAGAGGCGTTGCGTTCGCTGTGTGAACATGAGGTTTCTGTAGTTCTAGACTAAATGTGAACATGTATTCACTAATCTCACCTGCACAAAAACAGATTCAGTATTCCTCAAAATGAATAAAAACTGAGAAATGCAAACTCAGAATGATGCAAACCTGCAAGAATTAAATGTTAAATAACACAAAAATCATTTATGTTTTTAATGCCTTTTTATTAACCAGTGTCTTTGCTGCTGACCTTCGATGATCCAATTCAACCATACTAATAAGCAAAAATGACTTTAGA